AAGATACACACATTGAATAATAAAGATGTTGCTTCGATGATATTCTCTCTTAATTATTGTTTCTTTACTTTTGTTTGTTGCAGCTGTGCAGCCACTACCTTCCATTCCCTAATGCAAACGCGAATTTTTTGGGCTATCCAAATCTATATATATTCTTGCATCCTATTTGTATGCCTTTATATATATATATATATATATATATATATATATATATATATATATATATATATATATATATATATATATATATATATATATATATATAAATATTCATTTTCTCCAAAATATATATGTCGACAAAAATAATGATTTTTTAGAAAATATATATACTAACGAATAAAAATTCTATATGTATCTAATCAATATATATAAATCGATTATGCTATTTTGTATTAATGCAGATCAATGAAAATTATATGTGTTTAACCTATATCTAATGTATATAAATTAATAATACTGCCTTGTATTAACATATAATAAGTGTTATTTATATCAAATAATTATAATTTCAAGACTATTTCTATATTTATAATTTTCTCTCCTTCTTTATATTTATCCGCTTATTTATTAACTCGCTTATTTATTAATTTTGTCGAAAGTGTGTATATTGACAAAAATATTAACTATTAAAAAAATACACAAATCGCTAAAAATGCTATGCACATCTAATACATAAAAATAGCGTTCTTTTTATGTTTATTCGCTTATTTATTAATTTTCTCCAAAATATATATTAGCAAAAATATTAAATATGAAAAAAATGCAAATTCTTAAAAATCCTACGTACATCTAATATATGCAAATGAATAAAAATTCTATGTGTATCCAATTAATATATATAAATCAATTATGCTGTTTCGTATTAAATATCAAAAAAAATATGCAGGTTGCTATATACACAAACATCTTAAATATAAAAAAAAATATGCAAGTCGCTAAAAATCCTATGTACATCTAATACATACAAATGAATAAAAATTCTATATGTATCTAATCAATATATATAAATCGATTATGGTGTTTTGTATTAATGCAGATCAATGAAAATCATATAAGATTAGCATGCATCTAATATATATAATTAATAATACTACTTGTATTAACATATAATAAGTGTTATTTATGTGAAATAATTATAATTTCGACACTATTTCTATGTTTATAATTTTCCGTCCTTCTTTATATTTATCCGCTTATTTTTTAACTCACTTATTTATTAACTTTGTCAAAAGTGTGTGTATTGAAAAAAATATTAAATATCAAAAAATTACGCAGGTCACTAAAAATCCTTTGTATATCTAATACATACTAACGAATAAAAATTCTATTTGTATCTAATCAATATATATAAATCGATTATGTTGTTTTGTATTAATGCAGATCAATGAAAATGATATGTGTTTAACCTATATCTAATATATATAAATTAATAATACTGCCTTGTATTAACATATAATAAGTGTTATTTATATCAAATAATTATAATTTCAAGACTGTTTCTATATTTATAATTTTCTCTCCTTCTTTATATTAACTCGCTTATTTATTAATTTTATCGAAAGTGTGTATATTGATAAAAATATTAACTATTAAAAAAATACACAAATCGCTAAAAATGCTATGCACATCTAATACATAAAATAGAGTTCTTTTTATTTTTTTGCTTATTTATTAATTTTCTCCAAAATATATATTAGCAAAAATATTAAATATGAAAAAAATGCAAATTCCTAAAAATCCTACGTACATCTAATATATGCAAATGAATAAAAATTCTTTGTGCATCCAATCAGTATATATAAATCAATTATGCTGTTTCGTATTAATTCAAATCAATGAAAATCATATGTACTTAACATGTATCTAATGTATATAAATTTAATTAGTTTTCTCCAAAATGTATATATTAGCAAAAATATTAAATATAAAAAAATATGCAAATCACTAAAAATCCTACGTGCATCTAATATATGCAAATGAATACAAATTCTATATGTATCCAGTCAAATATATAAATTGATTATGCTATTTCGTATTAATACAAATGAATGAAAATCATATGTACTTGACATGTATCTAATATATATAAACTTAAAAATAAATCAATCCAATATTTATTGATTCAAAAAACAATTATTCGATCAATAAATACAAATATATGATTCTAAATTTATAATTTCAAATTGTTAAAAATCCTTAATTGTTATATATTATATTTATGAATTTATATTCTTCACTATATTTCTTTTCTTTTAGTTTTTCTAATACTAAACTCTTCCATTATCTAACACACGATTTTGGATTTTTTGTGAGTTTCATACAAATTACATTCCAATCAATATAATTCATACACTACATTGCTACTCTCATTTCATAATACAACTACATTTTTTCCCTATTTTTTATCTCAGGTACTCATTGGTGATATGATATACCATCGCATATACAAACAAACAACATAGGAGTCATCAATTGCTATCATGCTAAAACTCGATGGATCTTTCAGCTAGAAGGAATAGAAATAGCAGAAGGTTGGCCAATATTTACACAAAAACACTTCTTATATGAAGGAAGTATCATCTTGTTCACCCTGCTCAATAAAAACAATTATCATCTGCAGCTCATCAGCAGAGACTTTATCCAACAATCATAATTAAACGTGTCCACTACAGCTTCTTGCACATAGCAATTATCTATTCCCTAAATTTTCTTTATTCTAATTCCACTTATATTTAACAATATAAAAATAAACACATCGAAATTATTTCAAATTATTAATTTATCTCAACTCTTAAAAAATGATTTACATTCCATTAATTTAAATAATATTTACATCCTGTTACTCTTAAAAAATTAAATACAACGCACAACAATATTACTATATCTATTTATAAATATATTAATCCAATATATTATTCCTCTATTTATTATTCCAACCCTACTATCATATAAAACACTCTAAATATTAATTATTAAATAAATCTTACATTACTCTTAAACAGTCAATAATGGGCACCCCGCGAAACTCGCGGGGCACAATGTCTAGTATATATATATACACACATATATATCTTCACTTTTCCAAAATCTTAGCAATTGGAGCCAATCTTAGCCAGCGAAATTCAGTTCCTCTTAGAAAAACTCGAAAAGAAATATGATTCTTAAAACTTAAATGTAAAAGTTCACAATTTGAGCCAACATTTTTTAAACATTCCAATCTCGGCTTTAAAAAATATATTCCCGAGGAGGAGGGGTGGCAATTTCATAAAGAATACTAATCCAATGACCACCAGACTTGTTTTTCATATATAGTTAAAGAAACCGTTGAACAAAGAGATGAGTTTTTTTTTTTTTCGATTTACAAGAGATTCTGAATCTCATAAAGTGGAAGGGGGAAAGGAGAGGACTTGACAATTGAATGAGAAATTTCATAGTTATTTGGCTAATATTCCTACTTGCAAAGTTGAGTTTTAAAGACGGATATAAAGGCTTTGTAATATAGTTAATGGCCACTAAATAATTACTTTTTTGATTAGTAAATCATAAAGATAATGAGGTTGCAAAACTACTAATATGTGTATATATATCAGTTGTAAAAGGTAATAATTGTGAAATAAAATGTAACACTAGAGTTTGAATAAGATTAATTGAAACAAAGTCAAATTAGGTATGTAATTATTAACCAAGTCATAAAAAGTTTTATCATTAATGTAAACTGAGCTTTGTCATAAGCATAAAATTGTCCTATTTGACACCTAAAAAATATTCTCTTGACAAAATAATCCACTATGTATAATTTGGTGTTGTCTGTAAATAAGATTTTTTAATTATGTTGTCTTTATTCTAACATATTACTGTTGGTGCCGTTACGTAAGGGCAGATTGATTGGGATCCTACTGGGGTGTTTGGCCGAATCTGAAGCAGGATAAGATTGCAACCTAACCTTGATTTTTTTTTTTTTTGGGTGCATTGGAGGGCTTGCATAACCTTTGAAAACGAAACGCGCAAACCCAATAAAAAAGTCAGTCGGAAAGTGACCCGCGGCCCTTGGCCTCCAACTCCTCGAATCTTCAAAAAACTGTTTCTCATGATTTTTGTCTTATAATCTCGCATTAATTACTATTTTATTTTTGGGCCTTCCTTTGAGTTCCTCTTTGACCAATTCATCTCCCCAACCTCATGTCTCTGTTTCTACTTCCTACTCAAAGTCATGTTCCAAACACACTTCAAAAAAAACACACCAGAACTCACACACACTAATACAATACAACTCCCTCGATCCTCTCTCAACTCGCGCACACGCACACGCACACGCACACGCGCACACGCACACGCACACGCACACGCACACACTCTTCACACACACAACACCTACCAGCACACACACGCAAAACTCACAACCCAATTCATCCCTCTCTCGGCTCACTCATACATCACAGAAAAAACCAACTAAATGTGGCCAACGCTATAGTATGCAATATCAGTATGATTTTGGTCTTGTTTTGATAGAGTCCTTTGCAGGCTCAGCTTCTTACTATATGTCTATATCAGTCTATTACCTCTCTAAACTAATCTCATTTGAGGAGGACAAACAGAAAAGAATAATCTGGCTTGACAAATTATTGAAATTAAAGAGATCAATTGTGTTTAGAACCTAATATACGTGGAACCGAATTGGAACAAGAGAATCCACCAAATGCCCTTTTTTTTTTTGGGTTGACAAAACAACCAAAAAATAATTTTATTGCGCAAGATCAGATGCAATAGCATCTAAAATTAACAACTGCAGATGCTTCCTCCAACCATACAAGCAAAAGACTTTAAGTTTGAAGGAAAAATCAAACAGTGCTGCAATATAGAGGACAATCAGTCAACTTTAGTTCATTTCTTGTTTTGAAGCATTTTTTTTTAATCAAAATTGTCTTGTTTTACCGAAGTAATACAATCATCTTCATTATGTGCCATATTGATCTAGTAAAATTTGAAACATGGGACTAGACTTGTTTGTAGGAATGCTTTGCGGCAGAGCATATTTCTTCATGGAAAAAGTATTGAATGAAAACATTTTGATTAGTTATACAATTTTTCATAAATATGCACCTAACTGACCAACATTTTGATTGTTGTCCTACCTAATGAGTTTAATGTGCTCATAGAGGTACTTAGATCTTCATCACAGGTTATCCAAATCCACTCATTGTCTTCATCCTCATACTCAATTGTAAAACTTCCAATGGATAGATACAATCTCTGTGCTACACCTTCTCCTCCAAGTTGACTTTACGGGCAGAAAGTGGAAGTCTAAACTTTATCTTGCACTGTTGATAGTCGGCCTTCACCCCCATGCTACTACCATCTTCTAGCCTTGTGGTGTTCTTCAATGTTTTCAGTGGTAGGCTGAATAACTTTCTGTGCAGCAAAGGTTGGATTAACCTTTCTTGCTTTACGAGGTGGTCATCTACAAATACCATACTCCCGACATTTACGTTTCAATGTAGATCGGGTAACTGCAGATTTTAGAAAGGAAAACTAGAGTCAGGGAAAGTGCTTTTACAACCTGTGAAGAGAAAGGCAAATTAACATGCATTAGCAATCTAAAGAAGTTGTGCAATTAATAGTTACCATCAAGAAATTTTGCAGCTTCCACAACATTCATTGTAGAAATTTGTTCAAGGAGCTCACGAGTAATTCCGCGTTCGCTTCTTAAAGGACAACTTGACTTTTGCTTTCTTGAATTAGTCTCTTCATTGTTACTCTGTTTTCTATTAGCACCATCTTTGCTAGGATTTGCCACATCGAATTCCAATATTGGTTCATGATGCGCTACGTGGACTATGTTCTGCAAGAGCTCTTGTCCAGATGAAGATCTAAAACAATCCCATTTTGCTGTTCATAAATACCGTTCATAGAATTCGTTGCAGCATCAACTCCTGCAACATTTGATGCATCGAAATTTACAGCCATTAGTTCTTGATATGATATGTTGGCAAAGCCCTGCGCATGCTCTGTTCTAGGTGGAGATCCAACAACTCCATTCTGCTGTCCATTTGCAGCATCAACTTGCTGAGTTGAGAAATCAACTTGCATCATTCCTTCTCCTCCTCGTACTTATGCAATCCAACACTACTATTCTGCTATTCATGAATACCATTTATAGAACCATTTGCAGCATGAACTTGCTGAGATGAGAAATCAAGCTGCATCTTTCCTCCTCCTTGTACTCCTACAAGCCTAGGTGTAGATTCGATACCGGTAGTATTGCAGATTTCACAAGAATCATATTCATCCTTTGAAGAGATCTTTACAACCTCAACGGTCAATTTCTGCCCTAATTCCTGTCCAGAAGCAATCTTAAAAGAACTTTGGAGGTGTCGTTTCAATGTTTTCATTAGCATGGGCAACAATGTCCTAGGATCGTCATCATCATCATCATCATCTTCTTCTTTCGTAGGTAAAAAAAACTCCAATACGTAAATGCACTTGTTCGGGCAAGGGCTCTGCAAACAAACTGCAAAACAGGCAGAGTATACATTTTTTCTTGAAGATTTGTTAGAAAAAAGTTTCTGTATACACAAGTTTTGTGACAGAACTAAATTGCTAGAATTAATTCCACAGGAGAGTCAGACTGAGAGGATGAAATCTCTATGTGAAAAAACAAAAAATCAGACTTTCATCCACAGGAGACGATGAAAGTCAGACTGAGAAATCTGTGTGTAAAAAAACAAAAAAAGTTAAATACTTACCGGCTAAGGGAGGCTGGACGCAGTGTACTTCATCATTACATGTGCTCCAGTAAACCCGGAGCTGACCCTTTCCGTCAGATAAATGGGAGCATGATAGTTCACAAGGCCCCAAACCAGCATGATAGTTCACAAGGCCCCAAACCTGCCGTAGGAAAAGGGGGAGAGAGGGAGGTTTGAGGATCCTTTTGCCATTTGTGCAGGAGAAAATTGCTAATCCTCTGGATCAATCATGTTTCCCAAATCTCAGCTTTTTACAACTCGCTTTATGTATGTATGAAACTATGAATACTTGTCAAATTGGATAAGTAAAGTAACAAATATTTGTTATAAAAATGATTATGCTAGAAAATACTAATCTAGTAGATTGAATATGAAACAGGATACTAATCAAGCAGGTTGAACATAAGTACAAGATTTAAAACCTTTTTGTATTATGTTGAATTAAGGTGGAATAGTTGAATATATTAATAAGATTTTATATTTTTCTGTTTTTATTATTCAAATTATTAAGTATTAATCTTCAAAATATTTAAGTTGACAAAGGGCTTAAATTAAAACTTTTGAAATAGTTCACTTGGCAGACTTTTAAGTTATAAGTCTATGGTTGGTGTAGTGGAGCAAATTTCCCAGTAGCCACGTGTCAGTTCGGACATGATGACCTGTCAGCTCGGCCAACCAATCTACGGATGCCACGTGTCAGCTCGGATGATGTGACATGGCAGCTCGGCCAGAGCAGTTCGGAGTAGGGGGAGGTCAGCTCGGCCGTAGCCGCCGCCTCTCCATGAAGTGGGCCTCATGGGCCGCCGCCTCCGGACCTTTAGGGGTTGTCATATGAAACCCTAGAAGGACTCCGAACCCTAAGGGGACTCTGACTCCTATATGAAAACTACTACCCGTTAAGCCTATAAATATGGCACTACGCAACAACTCAAGGTACGCCATCTACAGTACCCTCCATACTATTGCCTTATTCTTAAGCTCTACTGACTTGATCGTTGGAGCTATTCCGGGGACTCTAGTCCCGCTGTTGTTCTTTCTCCGCAGGATAGTCTGTTCGGTTTTCCCCTCTCAGCTCGGCTGCACTCAGCCAGCTCTGTTTGTAGCAGCTCAGCTCGGGTTGCATCCTTGGCAGCTCGCCAGCCCAGCTCGCCAGCTCGCTCCCTCTCAGCTCGCTCAGCCCGTCGCAGCCCAGCTTAGATCTTGTTTTTGGCAGCCGCATCAGTTGGCAACAGGAAAGGACTGACTCAAAGAATAAGCAAAATTTCAAGGAAGCAACCAAAATCAACAGCCAATACAAAATGGCCCAATCCCCTGAACAGACCATTTCTTATACACACCAGTAGGGATGTAATCGAGCCGAGTCGAGCTCGAGTATCACTATACTCGAGCTCGACTCGACTCATAAACACAGAGGCTCGAGCTCGACTCGAGCTCGATCGAGCCAAGAAAATCGATACTCGAAGATCGACTCGAAGAATTTCCTCAGGCTCGAGACTCGACTCGATAAGACTCGATCTTTAATCGAGCCTTATCAAGTCGAGCCTTATCAAGCTTTTTGACTCGATTTGACGAAAAAAACAGATCAAAGGTGATGTTTTGGGAAGAAGTCCAACAGAAATGAAAACTCAGGATGTTGATCTGAGACAATCATAACCAATGCCTAGAAAGTTCTACAGTGCAGCATTTCCCCAAAGAAGAAACCATTTTTGCATTTCTCAGACGTGCAAATGCAGCAAGCAAGCTAACAGCTACCACAAACCCATACACAAGCAGAAATTACAGAAAACTAGGATTAGCTTGTTCAGGAGCAGTGGCATGACAGATCTTACTTAGATAATAGTTCACACTAACAAGCATATATATCAAACCTTGAAAAGGCACAAAAAGTTTTAGATCAAATCAAATACCTTTCTATCCAACTCTTTTATTATTTTTTATTTTCTTTTTCAGGGATACTGAAGGTAATCTATGATAACATGTTACGCCTAAAGTCTTGCTTCAAGACATCTTTACACCAAGTGGGCTTTCTCTGAAGGACCAAGAAGTCCACTTCAAAAACCAAGGAACTCAGCCACGAACTAAGAGCTACCAGCAAAGAAGTCTATCAATACTGCAAACACTTAAGTTCATGAGCAAGAGTACTACTTCAGCTGACACTGGCGCATAAACAGCTTTAGCAAATCCGATATCCAACCATACATCATGATATCTAATATCCAAACATAAGCAATAACACAGTACAATGCATGGTGAACGCAGACAAAATGTCTACCTTGGACCAGGGCCACGGCGCTTGACATCTAATATCCAAACATAGTACAATAACAGAGCACAATAACATAGCACAATGACATCTTCCATTTCATCCTCTAACAAATGCCCTTCTGCTGCCGCTAGATATGCCTCTAACATAATGAATGAATCTTTCTAACGGGTAAAAGGTGGAATTTTTCCCCAAGGCCTTAACTTTTAAAGGCTGCACAACCGGAGAGAGCTTCTTGTGTATAAAATACAAAGCTTATGTTATATCACACCTAATCTAAACTACTACCACAGTTACAGTTTGCAATTGGAAGCTCAGATTTCGTCCCCTTATCAATTCAGGATAACAAGTTTTCTAGTCGATCTTGGCCCATTTTAATGCCAGAGACACAGAGCCAAAAACAGAGGAGCACTTACCTAAGTGAGCCAGAGATGAGCAGTGATGAACCAGCGATGAACTAGTGAGATCTTGGTGCTTCGTCTTCGACACTCGGCAGCGATGAACCAGCACGGCAGGACACAGCCGACAGGAGACGTAGAGCGCGGCGGACTGGCGGAGGCCGGAGAGTCAGAGAGCAGCTTCGATTTGGGACTTGGGACTTGTTAAGGCGATGGCGATGGCGATGGCGATGGCGATGGCGATGGAGTCTCACAGATGCGGCGAGCAACGGCGTCGGTGACGAACGGAGTGAGGGTGTAGATCTAAATCAGTCAGAGTCGGCTGCCGGCTGGTAAAGTGAATTTTTTTGCTAGGCTTTCTTCGAACAGAGAAGAAAGTCCCGCAGTCGGCACAGAGAACTGAGAAGGAAGAAAGTCTTTTCTTCCTTTTTTTTTTAGACATTTTTTCTTTTTAGTGTTTTTTAAAATTATGTTATTACTTTTTTGCCATTATAGGATTTTATTATAAAGAAGGTAATATTGTAAATTTCATATAACTTATACCCATAATGGTCATTTTATAATTATAATAAATATATATTATTTAAATTATAAATATTTTATTTAATTAACTCAGGCTCGTCAAGCTACTCGACGAGCCTCGAGCTTGGGAAATCGGGCTCGATACTCGACTCGATTAAGAGTCGAGTCGAGTTGTTGACCGAGCTACTACTCGCGAGTAGCTCGCGAGTAGCTCGGCTCACTAACAACTCTACACACCAGTCCAGAACTTTTTTTTTTTTTTTCACACTTTTCCTCCTCCTTCGTTTTTTCCCTTCTTTCTCTTGTACGCACCTTGACCAGACCAAATACTGATTTAACTACTGTTCCGGACCGTGCAGCCCAAAACTTACCCAATCCTCCATTTTCTATGGACAACTCATGTCCCGAATACCCTTTACCAAATATATGGTTGGCTTCCTTAGAAAATGAATATTAAGCGTCAAGGCCCACAATAAAATTATAAAATTTTTGAGTTGATGAACTGATGAAAGTTTTGTTTGTTTGAAAATTAAATTGATTTTTTTTTTTTTTGTGTAAGTGAGAGGGTTCCATCCGAGGTCTCTCATTGACACTCATTTCTTTCAAATCATCCAATCCATCTTTTCCATTCCCTTTCCAATTAACTTGATTTAGCCATGAGTCGAGCTATCAAAACAAATTCAAAGCTTCATTTAACCAATGAATTGAAATATCACAATTTGAAAATGTTATTATTATTATTCTAAAACAACTAATATTGTTGTATTTTAAATATTGAGCTAATCTTGTAAGCCATATTACCTTGGATAAATATGTAAAGTACAGTATTTTGTGTGTACAAATCAGCTAACTTTGGTCATATAGTATAGTAATATGTGACATTAATATGAAAAGATTATCATTATTTGTCCCTCATCTTATATATACCTATTATATAAGAAAGAAGTGAAATTATTGTAGCAGTTTCTATGGTTGCCAAGTGGCTCCCATTTACTTTGATATGTGGCTCATTAATCCTTTGAGGAAGCTATCTTTATTTTTTTTCCTTTTTCTTTTGGCTTTTTCCCCCCTCATTTCCTCTTTCTGTTCTAGCAAAAGGCAACCACAAGAACCCTCATCCTCATCCACACTATTACTTGCATGCTCAATTTTCACTATGTACTCTTTTCATTTTTTTTTCTCTTTTTTTTCCTTCACCCTAATTGTTTACTCTACTTGTTTTTCTATTGAATTAGTTGATGCATTTTTTTTTTCAATTTTTCCATAATCAACTAAATGAATGGTTTTTGTTGTTGTAGTGGATAAGGAAAGATAGCAATTTTTATTGAGGGAAGATAACAATTTTTCCTCAACTTATATTCATTCCAATTTTAGTTCTTATTTATTAAAATTGTTATTTGATAATAGGCTGATAGTATTGGGATGGAGGAGTGAGAATTTGACAAGTGAAGATCTAAAGTGAATGATGACTAGGAAGTAAATAGAGAGGTCTATTGAATTTAAAATTAATCAAAGTCTCCTAATTTATAGATAGATAATTATATTTTCCATACTTTGATTTATTTAAAGTTTCTTAGTAGTTAAAAATGGTTATTTATTAGATGAGAAGGATGATATGTAAAGGAATAGTTGGGGCAGCAATTTAGGATATGAACAAAATATTTATGTAATCTCTTCATTTTGGGTTACTAACTTGTATCCATGATAGGTGGTTTATTTTCATGGTATGAAGTTTGAGAAGAAAAGAAGTGTAAAATTAGATTTTAAAATCATTTGCTTAAGTTGGTTCTATAAATTTGTATTTTTATTGTTTTCATTGTCCCTAATGATAATATAAGCTAGATGTAGAATTGGATATATCATGACTATTTGACTAAAGGAATTGATAAATTTTTATAAACTCAAGTAGCTGAATTGATTACTGCTGTTAAGGAATTGCAATTGGTGATGGAAATTGATTACTGTTGTTAAGAATTGCAATTGGCGGTGGAAGTCAGAACTGAGACTTTTAGCCTAGAGTGTGATTTGACAAAAAAATTGTTAAAAAATTCAATCTTGATTAAGAAGATATTTTTGCGATCAAACAAATGGTTGGTTTCGAATTTGTACATGTACATTTGCAAACATGGCAGCTCATATTTTTATCTAATATTACTATTTGTATTCTCAAGCTTTTTGGCAGATAATGTTATCACCTATTTGTAATGCTATAAAAAAAAGGATTTAAATGGATGGCTTAACAACTTGCTTTTTCTCTAAAAAAGACAAAAAACAAAAAAATGTGTACATTTGTATGTTTTGAAAAGGATAGAAAAATGTGCAAGTTTGTATGTTTTATTGATGTTAAAAATTGTATACTTTTATTGATGTTTTTCTACATCCATTCCTTTTCAGCTAGATTTTTGAGCTATTTTAATTCTTCAATATCTATTGCTATCTCCTGTTTAGATTCTCCTTAACAATATACTTTTGTTAATTTTAAGTAATTCCCTCAAATCACAAATTCCGAACATCACACACTACAAATATGAAAAATCCAGGTTGATCCCAAAAGATTAAAAAAAAAACCGAATTTTCTCATCATTTAAATATTGCAAAAAGATCGTGATCACCAATCCCAGCTGCAAGAAGTCTCAACATTGCTGGGCTGCTTGTTTTGTTCTCGCCTGATCCTTGCTGGGCTCTAACTCTAAGGCTTTGAATCTTACTCTAGCCAAGGCAAATTCTCTTAGTGCTGGATGTGGTGGAGCTCAGGGCTCTTAGTTTGGCACTTCCAGTGAAATCAAAATGTAAAAGAAAATCAGCTGATTTGAACTTCCAGTAACCATCTTAAATATAATTTAGCAGTGTCTATGGACCTCAGGGCAAAGCCAAGGATTCGATTTAGAGTGATGAAACAAAAAAAAAAAAATTTGCTGGAAATTTTTTTTCCCACCTAAAAATAAGTACCGTAAAATTTTTAATTTCAAATGTTTATTTTAATGAAAAAAAGAAACATTTTATTCTACCGATACTATTTATCTAGCTTAGAAATCATTCACTTAGTTTTTCTCAAGCATATCAATATAATAAAAGAAATTAATGGTACTTAATCATACAAAACAAATTGAAATTGTGGCAACTACAATCCCAGAATAATGGTTAATTGGCTGATCAGTAAAAAATAAATAAATGTTAACTCAAACGAGGCAAGTGCGATAATGATAATAATCTAGTTGCCACACCATAGGCTTAAAAATAGATTAATTATACAAAGGCTCATAAATATGCTATCACCTGACCAACAATCTAATTGTTGTCCTACCTAGTGAGCTTAACGTGCTCGTACAGGTACTCAAATCTTCATCACAGGCTATCCAAATCCATTCATCCTCTTCATCCTGATACTGAATTTTAAAACTTCCAATCGGTAGATTCAATCGTTGTGCAACTTTCTCCTCCAAGTTGAATTTATGGGCTGACAATGGAAGTCTAAACTTCATGGTGTCTCCTTGATATTCTGCCTTCACCCAGATGCTACTATCATCTTCTAGCCTTGTTGTATCTGGGCGGTGGCCTTCTTCAGTATTTTCAGTAGAAGGCTGAACAACTCTCTGTTCAGCAGAGGCTTGATTAACCTTTCTTGCCTTACGAGGTGGCCATCTGTTAATACCGAAGTCCCTACATATACGCTTCAATGTAGATCGACTAACTGCAAGTATCAAAAAGAAAGAAGCAAATCAACAGTTTCAACACACATTAACTAAATTTGAATTCAATTCTGACCTAGAGAAGAGCTACAGTTAAGAATTACCTCCAAGAACTTCTGCAGCATCCAAAAGACTCCTCCAAGAATTTTGTTCAAGAACCTCACGAGTAATTCCAAGTTCGCTTTTTAAAGTATAACTTGACTTTTGCTTTTTTGTGTTAATCACTTCACTGTCTCTTGGTTCTATGCTAGCACCACCTCTTTCAGGATTTGCCACATCGATTTCCATATTTCCTTCATCATGCGCTATGTTTTCTATGTTCTGCGGGAGCTCCTGTCTATGTGGGCTTTCAACAATTCCATTGTTCTGTTCATAAATGCCATTCAGAGAATTGTGTGCAACATCAACTCCTACCGTTAATTCTTGCGTGTGCTCTGTTCTAGGTGGAGATCCAGAAATTCCACTCTGCTGCCCATGGACACCATTCATATAAGCACTTGTAGTATCAACTTGCTGAGGTGGGAAATCAACTTGCGTCATTCCTTCTCCTCCTTGTGCTTTTGCAAGCCTAGGTGTAGATCCAACACTTCCATTCTGCTGTTCATGGATACCATTCATAGAACCATTTGCGGCATCAACTTGTTGAGATGAGAAATCAAGTTGCGCCATTCCTGCTCCCTCTTGTACTTCTACAAGCCCGGGTGTAGACTCACTACTAGTAGTATTGCAGATTTCAAAAAAATCAGATTTATCCTCTGGAGAGACCTTTATAACCTCAACAGTCAATTTCTGCCCCAATTCTTGTCCCGAAGCAATTTTAAAAGAACTTCCGAGGCGTTCTTTCAATGTCTCCATTAGGCTGTTCAACAATGTCCTAGGATCTTCTTCACACATAGGTAAAAAGAACTCCAGAACGTAAATGCAATTTTTTAGGCAAGGGCTCTGCAAACAAACTGCAAAACAGGCAGATCTCTTCAAGTATCGTGCCTGGACTACCAAAGGGTACTCTGTTATGCTTAACTGTCTAACATCCCTACAAAAGCATGCACTTTTGGATGAGAATGCTCTCCCAACTACCCCTTGTCCCTTCCGAATAAAATCTTCACCCCAACGAGAACTTAGTATTTCTCCAGAACTAGTCCAAGTTTCAGTATCATTATAAACCAGTCCATGTATTTTCCTCACCTCGCTCAATGCTTCTTTAATTTTAGCAATTTCTCCATCTTGACCTGTAGATGAATGGCTTAAAAGTATTGGCATGGAATGAATAGCCTAAAGCTTCAGCCAAGATTATGCAGTATAAAAGGAGAAAAAAAAAATACTTAAGAGGTACTCACATGAACTTGCTTCCGCGAGTCTTACGCTGGTAATTGTCAGATACACCTCCTGTAGTAGATTCTAACAAACACATTATCCATGAGCCATAAATAAATTAAAGCGTTATTTACAAGTTTCAAAGTGTTTGTTTTGAGCTTTAAAAGTTGTTTAACAACAACGGATTTGCACCTAAAAAAGAAAAATAAAACAATAAGATAAGCTCTTTGTATGCTTAGTCAACTAATTTTGGTATAGAAGTTTCGAAAAGCCAAAACCTCCTTCAAACGCCATAGATTTTTTAAGAATCAACTTGTTTCGCTTAAAAATAACTTAAAAACGGAACATTAATATTGGGGTGATCGTTTTCACAGTTATAAGCAATTGGAAAATTAGTTGTTAATAGATTGCAAAAGAGACCTTCCATTAGATTAATTTATAAAAGCACCCCTCCTATTGCCACCTATCAACTGGAAACCACGATCTATCTCCAAATTTGTAAAGGACATGGAGATATACAAAATTCATGCCAAGCATCTCCACTGTTCAAGTTAGATTTATCACGAAATTCTTATTAAGTGCGATGCTACCATAAATCTTGCACTATATAACACACAAGGAGACAATGGTTGGTTCAAATAATAATTTAATTAGTTATCTTTATATCAGTCATCACAGTAAGTATGCTCTGAAGTGACCGTAAAGCCGAGACATGTAGTTTGTAACACTCATCAAAATTCTGGTCGGTGGGGAAGTAATTATCCGAAAGAGAAACACAAATGAAATGATGTCAACGAGAATCAGATTGGCTCTTTTATTTTGTTTTTTTGATAACAGATGCTAATTATTTACGGCCTGGGATTCCTTAGGAAGTAAAATGTTTGAAATTATTCTGTTTGGTTGGAAGTAAAATGTTTTCTTTAGGAAAATATTTTCCGTGGAAGTAATTTTCCATGAAAATTATTTCCCTTTCATCATTTTCAGGTGTTTGGTTAGGTTATTGAAAATATTTTCTTACTTCATTTTTCTGGTATTTGTTTAACTTTTGAAATATTTTCACTTTTATCTCTATCTTTACTTTCTACACATTATAACTACATACTTCTTCCCATGCAAAATAAGAAAATTTATCTCATTGTTTAACTTTAAAAAATCTTGGAGAAATGTATATATGAATAAAAAATATCTCCTTAAGCAATAAACAAATTGCTGGCCATTTAGTGTCAAATATCAATTACATGCAATGCTTATTGTGACATATATCTTGCACTCTCACTGCTGAAAGTTTCTCTAGAAAAGAATGTCCCTATTATACATAATTAATTACTAGCATATGATGAGCATGATGAGTTTTTTTTTAATTTTGAATATACTAGGGGGAGGGTTGGGTTGGGTTGGGTTGGGTGGTATGGGGGAGGGAGTGTAAGGAAGAGATCTTGGATTCGAGTCTTCCTATTTACACCAAAAAAAAAAAAAAGAACATACTACAAGATGATTTCAGTAAGTTTGGAACATACTACAGGCAAGATGCATGCATTTCGGAAAACAACTTCAGTAAGTTGGGAAGGGAAGTTGTTTTCCATAAGATGAGTGAAAATATTTTACATAGGAAAATGTTTTCAGTAACTTTTGTGCAACCAAATACGGGAAATTAGGAAAATATTTTCTTGGAAAACATTTTCACCCGAAACAAACGGACTCGTAATTTGTTTGTAACTCTCATCAAAATTCTGGTCGGTGGGGGAGTAATTATCCGAAAGAGAAACACAAACGAAATGATGTCAACGAGAATCAGATTGGCTCTTTTATTTTGTTTTTTTGATAACAGATGCTAATTAGTTACGGCCTGAGATTCGTCCTCTAACCTCCTCTTTTTTTATATATATAAGGGAGGGAGTCTGCACCCATTTCATATATATTATCTAATTTATTGATAAAAATTATACTAATAATTATATAACTCATAAATGATAAACAACACCACCCCCAGGTCCTTGTCAGCAATAGGTAAGAAGTAATTAAGCAACTTCAAAACAGAAAAGTCGAACCTGAAGCTTCTCCAGAACCTCGCGTCGAGGTATTCCGCTAACAAAAGAATAATTTAGTGATACAAATTCCAGTACACCAATGGGGAGGTGCCGAGCAGGATGATGATAGATTGGCAACGCCCAATATTCGTGGACACGGTTGACCGCATAATCACGTTGAGGATACTCTCTAATAGTGTAATCTGCCACATCCCGTGCAAATTCAGGCAACCCACTGCGGAACACCCGACCAGGGGGACCAATCTCATGATCATCATCCACTGCGGCAGAGGTACAAACAAGCGAAATGACGAGGAACCAAACAACAGCGACCAAGGGTTCAATAGGTTCGAAAAGCTCAAATTGTTCACGCGGTTTCAACACTTCGTGAAGAAGTTAGCTGTTGTCGTTTATGGGTAAAGATTAATCTCTTGCACTTTCACCTAATCAGATCGAGGAACGAAGTTGATGCTCATCAGGGCCCATACGTCACTAGCAAGTTGCGTCATTTTCTTATAATAACTAGGATGGGATAAAGGACGGAGATGCCCAGTTTAGTCAAATAATTTGTACTAATTCAAAATGGATCATTAATGAATTAAATTTGTTTGTTTTTGATGGAATTTAGTTACAGATAAACCAAAATAAAATATTGAACCAAAATTAGACCAAACTTTCATCTAAATATGTAATCATGTAAACAAAAAAAATAGTAAGTGTTATGCTCGTTAAAGAACCACAACATTAAAGGACTTCATCCAGGTTGCAATCTACACTTGGAATTTCAAGGGTAGGTTACATTAGGGTTTAATTTCCGAATGATGTAGCTACTCAAAACTTATAAGTGTCATCAGGGGTTAGATTTTGCTATCTTTCCATGCTCTCAGATCATTTTCAACATTAGGGGAAAAAAAAAAAAAGAGTGAAGGAGGGGAGTTAACATGGCTGTAAGCAGGAAAATGCAAACTAGTAAGAGCCAAAGTGAGCAAGAAAAAAAAACATGAAATTGACTTTATATTATTGGTAGAAACAAGATACTTCATAAGTTTCCTGACTTATCAACCTCCAAATTGCATACTCATGGCTAACTAAGTAGTACAGCTGATATCAAAGCACGTACATAAATAAGATAATATCACATTTGTGAAACACTATAGCTGGGGACTTGCTGAAAAGAAGTAATAATAATCAGGAATTTGCCGAGAATCCGGCCAAGCAGATTTATTGAAACGTTTGACAGCAATCCAAGAGCCATCATCTTCAAGCTGCCAATTGTAGACAACATTTGGAGCTTTCTCTACATGTTCTGATAAAAAGTTTTCAACTGAGAATCCTGAAGTTGCCACCTTCAACTCATCTAAACTGCATTCTTTAAATGCTGGCAGTTTCATCCTTCATTTTCTCCACATTTCTCTGAAACCCCAGAAGGAAAAACATCAGAAAAAGGGGAACAAAGATTACATTTTTATACATTTAACAGAGTTTTAAGAATTACCAAGATCAGAGGAATAAGGGACGTTGGATTTGAGGTTGGAAAGCCACCAGCAAAAGCCTAATTTAGAGCAGCGAGCTCCCATTGGGATGAAGACGAATAATTCTGAAAAACAAAACCGGCAATCAGGTCAAGAAAACACGCAGAGAAAAATATCACAAATGGATAGCACAAATCATAGGGACATAAAATACATGTAACCAACCAAGTCAATTCAAGCGCCATTGCAGAAAAAAACCTGTAAAAAAAAAAGGCTTGCAAAGAGGTTAAATATGATCACGGGGACAAAACACGAGAAGCAAAGTACAAGGGTCAGAGTTAACCAAAAAAGTGGGAAGTATCGGACTAACTCAGATTGGGTTGGGTCTGGAGTACCCTGAGCAAATATCTGCACCAGAATACACAGAGTCTGACTAGAGCAACAGCAGTCTACAAGGAGCTGGATAACCCAGACACAATCACTTGGAGTCCAGAGGCAAATGGGAATTTCACCACATCATCAGCCTGTGATTTGCATGGGAATTAGCAAAACAACAAGGAGAAAGACATGGCCTGGGAAAGAATATGGAACCTTTAAAGGCCCTAGTAGATGGAAGTTGCTGCTGTTGAGAGTGAGGCATGGACGATTGCTCACTAATGCAGAAAAACATTACAGACATTACAGACATCTGCATCCTTCCAGAAAATGTGAAGTATGTGGAGAAGAAATGAAACAGCACTGCATGCATTGAGAGACTGTGATTGGTCAACAAAATTCGGAGAGGACTTGTCTCAACTCTCAAGGGAAAGATGGAGAGACTTCAAATCAAAGTCCCTGATTCAATGGGTGGATTGGAACGTTAAGCAAAGTGACATAGGAAGGATCAAGAACGTACTCTGGCCCGTGCTCTCCCAAGAGGTAGTGCACTGGGCATGGACAGCGAGGAATGAGAAGGTTCATCAGAGGCTGGACAGAAAGCTCAAAGCCCGTCCGGAGCAGCTAATTCAGCAAGCAGTAGAGGCTCAGGAGCTTACCAATACTCGCACGGAGAACAGGAGCCAGCCGAAATACATCAGCTGGGACAAACCACAGGAAGGCTGGATTAAGATGAATGTAGATGGAGCTGCAAAAACATAATCCAGGGAGGGCCATACTCTTGGGACTTAGAATCGCCTACAGAGCAAGCAGGGTACAAGAAAGTCATACTGGAGACAGATTCTCAGTAGCTGTGTCGTTACTAGAATCAGCACTAGAGGAGAGCCAATATTGGAATATGATAAAAAATATAAAAAAAATGGATTGAGAAATGTGTTTATTATGTAAGCAAAATATTATTTGGAATTTTCTTTACTTGTCGGCAAGCAATTTGTAGGCTTTGAGAAAAGGGGCCGATAGGAAGAATAACCGAAATATCATTGAAGCAAGCAAAAGCTAGAACCTAAATGGAACAAGTACAAAGCCTTCACATGGCTCTAATGGTTGAAGCTGTCCCCGGACATTATTTCCAAAATAAAAATTAAAAAAAAACCCAGCAATAGAACTTAACAAAACCACAGATTTAGGCCCACTAAAGTCTAGAAAAAGGATTTTTCAAAAATTTTGAATTGCCACTCGATACTGGATTTAGTTATACCGAGTCACCTAAAAGTAATTTTTGATCTCTAAAACACAAATTAAAATTCTTTAACTAGATAATTCCATGTCTTTCAAAATCAGAGAAATAAGTTCGAAAGCTCATTTGTAAGGAGAAACGGTCAAAGTTTTATTCTCAAGCACCCCCTACACCTAACAAAACCGATTGCAAGTTTAATTTCGTTCTTTCAATTTTAAGGCAAAAATGAGTTAATCTATTGCTAAACACATAATATTTACTTAATTAACACAAAATACCCAAACAAATAAAAAAAATTACATAACACATAAAGAGTGAAATAAAATGAAATGATTAATTTCAAAGCTTCAGCTGTAAAAGCCACGAAACAACGCACGCTCTGCCCACTCGATCATATGCAACAAAATAAAAAGTAATTAAGAAAAAATATAAAAGAAAAAAGAAAAAGAAAATTACAAGATTCAATTGCTCCTGCGTCCCATATGGGTTACATCACTTCTAAAAAGAGGAAATAAATTAATTACAATGTGAATTGACAAATAGATAGACTAATGAAGCAAAAGTTGACTAATCTAGTCTTAGGACTTAATTAAAACTACCCAAAACAAGTTCGGTGGTAAATCTGAAAGATTGTAAATTTTGGGGTGAAATCACAAATGTGTCATCTTTCTCCATTGAAACAATGGTGAAACCTGCGTAACCTGCGTTCTTGTTTCTTCAATGGAACTTTCACCGGAAACTAGAAATCATCATCTCCGGCGCGCATTGGACTTGCCAGATCTTCGCCCTCTCTCCCTCACGCACACCAAATTCCATTGGGCAACCAAAAATAGAACGAAAGGAAAATGTAGAAGAAAATCAAAACAAAAATCTCTGGGTCTTTGATGGCTTTCCGGCGAAGTCACGGGCTCCGATCAGCGTTGGACTGATCGGACAAGAGATTTGTCTCTTTACTTCAAGTTCTCGTTTAGGCATTTCTTCAAACAGTAGATGGGCATACGAAAATTCTAAAGATCTCATACAATTCCAGCGAGAGAAAGACCCAAAACTTGTAATCAAAATATGATTTCAGTCCAAGAAAGCCAAAGAGTATACTCAGCCATGAAAATTGCAAAATAAGTGCAGATTAAAAAAAAAGTCAAATTGAGATTAAAGTTGGAAAGGAAGTAAGAGCTCACAGTGCATTTTAAATGACGACTTGATAACCGTGGTGGTATGGACAAACTCCGACGACCCAGCAGTGGCAGCGGCTCCTCCTCTGTTTCCCGTCGGTTCTTTTATTATTATTATTTTTTTTTTGGCCGACAGTAATAGGATAATGGCAGATGGATTGAAAAAGGGGATTCTTTTGTGAAAGATGGAGCTGATGATTAGGGATTGAGGAAATCTAGCTCATGGCGGATGAATTGGGATTGATGGTGATGAATGCAAGAAATAGTGGTCCAAGTCCTCAGTTTCTAATATCTATCAAGTTTTCAAATTTGTGGGATCCTATTTAAGATCTTGTTTTTGTGTCTGCAGACGAGATCGTAAGATGGATAGATCCTATAAAAAAAAACGTAAAAAATACTCGTACCAATAATTTTTGAATTTGCAATTCAAACATAGAGCAATAAATAAATGTAACTCATATGCAATAATATAATAGATAACGTAACTTATGCCGTTATGCGTAATGTAACTTATACTATCTAAAGTATTTGGGGAGTCTAAAATTAAAATAAAAATTTTGAGACTATATGTAACATATTGTAATGCATGTGATCAAACTAAAAGTCTTATTCTTTCTTATTTTTAAATCCAAACGTAATTAATGGACAAGATAGTTGGAAAAGTTGATTTTATATGTACATAGACCCTTTAAGTATTTATTAATAAGATAATTAAACACAGTATATTTAGTTAATTATAACATTTATTGATGATTACATCATTTTTTATATGTATAAGAAGATAAATAAATATTACATACATAATGAAATGTTTGAAATATATTTTCTTTGACTAAAAAATTAGTATACAATAAACAAATAATTGAAGAAGATTATGAGATAGAAATTTATGACAAAATCATGTACTTTGGGTTCAGAGTTGTAGCCTACTACTTACTTACCTATATATAACAAAAATACTTAATTTACCCGAATAAAAACCCCAAATAAGTGTCCTGAGTGATAACTTACAGGCGATCATCTTCTTAATGGATCAATTTTAAATGTTCACCATTTTTGGGGTAAGGAATTAGCATGATACACTTATACGTGCTTAAAGCCTTTCAATTCTAGTTTCCAATACCACAGACGATATTCAATTCCGAGTTTTCTATAGAAAGTTATGATCAACAAATTTTTATAGTAATATCTTGAAATAGTAGGATCGTAATACGATCGTACGATCTAGAATGCAATCCCACCGATTTTGTTTGTTTAGGGTAAAATTTTGATCCTAATTACAATTCTACATTCGGATCGTGATTTTAACAACTATAATGAGTAATTGACCTAGTAAATTTTAATTTTAATTTAGAAATTAGATAAGTAATCTTAGATATAACATGGTGACTTTCAAATCGATATCAAATTTGTAGATAAGTAATCATAAATATAATTAACGTAGTACTCCAAGAAACTAGAATTGAGATTGTAGATAAAATAATCATAAACATATATCACATAATACAAATGTTTCAAAGGTTGAACACTTCAACTATTGAAATAACTAGATGGTTATCAATTTAAATCCTAACTCTGCAACTAGTTGTACTAGACATGACAGCCTATAAATCACAAATTTGACTAGTAATATAGTGTCAAAATTTGAGACTTTTTAATATATTAATGTTATCTAATTATAAGGATAACCAAATTATCGTAAAAATCAAAGTTTACTCTTAAAAGTAAGTGCTAAATTAAAGGTTTTGTTGTGATATGAATTATCTAATGATTGCAAATGCATTGAAACAAGCAAGCAAAGATATCTAGATAAATGCCAATTACAATCTCGTGTTCAAATTAACATACACTAGCATTTATAACATTTACAATTCTATGTTTAAATGCACATCCAATGTGTGTGCAATCAAAAAATATATAATATCTATGATCATATATTTTAAATAAAATTTTTATTATCGAAACAAACTTTAATCTTTTAATAATTTTCATAAAATAATTTTATATTTGTAGTTACAATATTTAGTGGTGGTTATGTTGAAAACATATAATTAAATAGTTAAAAGTAAAAATAGTCATAAATAGTTATAGATAGTTAAAGTAAAAGTAGTTTTTATAAGGGCAAAAAATAAATTTCATAAAATGTTAACCCCAAATCCCTTCTTCAAACTTTATATATAGTATAGTCTGTATAGATAACCATACACCTACATTCACTGAGTATTCTATTATAATAAAATGTACCTACATTTACACAGTTTTCACATTTACTATCCCTTCTTCTTTTTTTCCATTTGTTTAAAGTAATTTGCCATTCAATTTTTTAATTCTGCTTATTTGTTCAAAAGCGATTTTTCTTTATTTCATTTACCCTTTTTTTAATTCTTTTTAATATAATTTAACCAACGTTTTCCTTTTTCTTTAAGAAAAATGATAGGGTGCGATTTTATCATTTATTTTATTATTAATTTCCTCTATTACCTAACTCAATGTGAATTAATTATTAGATTCTACTCACTTTTCGTAATTTGCATTTATTTCAGGGAGTAGAATAAAAATATCACAATCAAGGTCAATTTGACAGTCATTGGGAAAGAGTTCAAATAGCAGACAATCAAGGACATTCTTGAAACAAGGAGATGCAAGATCTTTTTAATAATTTTGACCGAAGACAGCAACTAGAAAAAGGAAAAAGAAAGCAAACCTCGGGGAGTCTTCTTCCTCTCGTGCGGCGAGCAGTAGGCTACTTAGATAGGAATTGCGCAGAAGAGGAGGATGACTACTTTTGTTTCTTTTTTCGGCCAGTAGCGGAGGAACTTTTCTTCTTGTTTTTTTCTTGTTTTCTTAGTCACGCATGATAGGAACTGCAGAGCTTTGACTTTTTCCTTCTGTTTGTTTCCTTTTGGTAGTTTTCGTCTGCAGCAGGTGACGAATTGAACCATATTTTCCCTGTAGCTTTCCGTTAGAATTTTTCTTAGGACAATGGCCGCAGTTATTTCTTCAATTGCGTGTGGGTTTTGTTCATCAATCATGAACTAGTTTCTTCACTCTAGTCAAGGAATAACGGATGCTTTGGTTTGTCTAAAAATTATGAGATCGATTTAATTTTATTTTTTCTTTTTATTTATTGGTATTCGCATATTCCCTGGTTACAGTGCTTATGATTGTTTAGTTAATTGATTGTCTTGGATCCGGATAATTAGTTAATTTGATAATTTATTGTCAATTGGGTGAGATCGATTTAATTTTATCTTTTCTTTTTATTTATTGGTATTCGCATATTCCCTGGTTACAGTGCTTATGATTGTTTAGTTAATTGATTGTCTTGGATCCGAATAATTAGTTAATTTGATAATCTATTGTCAATTGGGACGCTAAATCCGTAATTGTTTAATTGTCTCAAAATAGTGATAACTGGCATGATTGGATTTGTGTCAGGGGAATACGCAGGCTAACCTAAAATAACCCTGGTAGTGTGTTATTTGGTTAGAATAGGGCTCCTCTAATACGTAAGGCAATTGGGGAATTAAATCTTACGGGCGTACCTAAGATTATTTCTCAATTAGAGCAGTGATTAATGGGCGTACCTTAATCACCGACACAGTAAGGACGGGTTGACTGTCATCGCTTGTTTGACAGTTATAACCTATTTATTAGTAAATAATTAGAATTGGCTTTGCATCGATGATCAATTAAGTGAACCATTGCTGAAGTTATTTCTTGGTTAGATCCTTAATTATCACTCATTTGATTTTAGTAATTTGTTATTTAATTTTTAGTAGTTTCTTAGATTTTATTTGAATTTATTTGATTGTCACTTTCTGCACAAAAACACCCCCTTGTCACTGTGAACTTGAAAAGAAATAATTACTCCCAGTCCCTGTGGATTCGACCCTGCTCACCGCTATCTACATAAATTATTTTTAGTTTGAGCAGATTTTTATTATTGCACAGGCTGACAACCTGTCAAAAAAACACTATTCTTATAATTTGTAAATGTGATGGCTATCCCAACTATCAATAACTATGCAAAAGAAAAAAAAATAGTTTGTGCATATACACAATTTTCGCATTTGATACATGAAGTTTTGCAATTGAATAATTACATTAATGAATTATTCTACTACATAAATAATCGCAAATAACCAAGAGATAATCCAAAATGCATAGGTGAAATTCACAGTGTGGAAGCATATAATGTTGTAACCTTTTAACCTTTGTATGATTTCTAAACAAAGTAATTGACTTTTGAGATACCATGTATGCATATCGAAATTAATATCGTATATTTAATAGTAACTTGTATAGTGCTTGTAATTAGAATGTAAAAGGTAACTAAGACTGTTAATTATCCACAATATATATAAAAATATGAAAAAATGTTCAAAACATTATTCACATTTTGTTAAATGAATTTTTTTATCATTCACTTTTAAAAAAGTGACTTTACGTCCCTTACAAAATTAAGTTTGTAAAATTTTGTCCCAACCTATGTTTTTGACTACTTTTTATCTTGAATCAATCATGTGACCTACACAAGGTCATTTTTTATGGCAAAAAAGTTAGATATCATTTATAATTAAACAAATGATGAAATTCATATTTATTTTTTGCCATTTGTCCTAAAAAGTAATCTGACATTTTTGCAATATTCATTTTTGTCCTAAAAAGTAAAATCTGACATTCATATTTATTTTTGCCATTTGCCTTAAAAACATTTATTGTTCAGTATGCAAGAATTGAATCTTTTTCAACTGTAAGTATTCCTTGTAAGAATAATTAACAAGAAACCAATTTCATAACCATAATCCATTTGGTACAACATGGCATGTTAAGGCCGGGATCGTAATTCTGAAAACACGACTAGTATGTTAAGTAGCTTGTTAGTGATAACAAAACTCAGGTTTTGACGCAAAAAATAAAGTCATTAATTCACAGCCGGTTGTCATTAATACACGCAAAAAAATTTTTCGGGTTAACGTCCATCATCAAGGCTTGTTTGATAAGCCAACCCTACAGCCGGTTGCCTTATTTCAGTTGGGCCTCAATTGACATGTGAAAGAGGTCCAAGCTGAGCTGTCTTGTAAATACTAGAGGGAAGTCCCACGCGAAGCGTGGCGATTGATACCTGTGGTGTGGTCAAATAACTTAACAGTGTTTGATTACTTGATATCAAGTGGAACACACTTATATATTCCTTAAGCTTTCTATTGTCATAATTAGCATTACATTTTTCTGGTGCTTGGTTAGATTCTTTTATTGAGCAATAACGGCACGGTTCCCTATTTTCCTTTTCAATGTCTAATACAAATGGAAACTCATGGTGTTATCATATGTATCATTTTCCCCTAATTGTGTTTGGATTGCATTTTCCATGATTTTTCATGAAAAAATTACTGTAGCGATTTGATG